AAAACAATTTTATCCTAGACTAGTCCTTGAACTTTTCTTTTTTTTTTTTGTTCAATTTAAACTCTCGATCCTATGAATTAATGAAAGAGAAAATTTCACAAAATGTCCGTTTTGAGAGAATTTAGACCAAAATACCCATGTTAACAATTTATAATTCCACATAAACATAAAAATGTCTACTTTATTAAAAAATTTATTGGCCAATAAAATTTTGACACATAACCCTAACTTATTTATTTGAAAGTACAATTGTCAAATCGCAATAAATGCAATTTTTCTCATTGACACAGAAATGTCGAAAACGACATTTCAAATGTAGAGAAATGTTATGTTCAAAAAAAAAAATGTCATTCTAGATATTTAATATGTCGAGAACAACATTTGAAATGTTGAGAACATTTAATATTGTGATTTGATATGTGTACTTTTGAAATATAAGCCACCGTTTGATCTACATTATTATCTTATAAATGAAAAATATGACCGTTATCCATCACATCAACATTTAAATTCAAATTTTCTATCTCTTATGTGGACCCCAATAACAGCTATATTTTTCATTCTCATTCTACAATAATTTGACTCAAACAGGGCCTAAATAGGGTTCAAATGTCGACAACGACATTTGAAATATTGAGAATATCATTTGAATGTAGCTTCTCATGAAAGCAACTTCTCGAAATTTGTAAAAAATTGGAAAAAAAAAAATTGCTTCATTTTTTCATTAAGGGCATAATGGACAATTTGGTACAAAATTTAAAATAGTGGACATTTTTCAATTGACACCCAAAAAAGTGGACATTTTTTAAAATGCGCCTTAATGAAAATAGGTGGCTAACAGAAATGATGATGTGGTATATAAAATATGCTCCCACTCGACAAAATCGCTTATTGTTAGACAATTTGTGGTACCGAATGAAAAAAAGAAAGTATGTCTTATCTAACCAGACGCTTACTGAAATTTTTTTGTATCACGCCAATTTAGCAAATGAAAATAGACAAAGTGCCAATTATCATTGAAAGTTCCATGACTAACTAGGAAAAAGATTAGTTTAGGGGTAATTGTATTCAGACGACAGTTTTTGTTTACTGTACCATATTTTAATTATAATGAAAGTCCCCAATTTTTTTCATTGTCACAATTATGTTTTCAACTTTTTTACGCCACGTTTTATTGCCAACTTCTCATTAATTAGCATATCTTGTCATTCATTCCGATTTTTATCTAAAAAATTCATCATGAGAGCCTATAAAGACTTATTTATCCTTAAATTATCAAAATAAAAATAAAAGTTCGACAAAATATTTACCTATCATTTCAAAGCACGGTAAAAAAATATTTGGACAAAAACTATCATCATAGACAAAATGTGCTAATTACAGTATAACCTCCATAAACTAACATGGTTAAAATTGGAAAATTTTATCATGTAACAGATGTTATTAATTTATAGAGGTTTAATTTATCCCATTAGTCCAAGTGGGGATCAAGAAATTTTATTATATAATAACGGTCATACTTTAATGTGATGCAACTATAAAATTGTAGTTTTAAAATGAAGCAGCACTATAAGTTGGGGGTCACTAACAGTGTATATTTTAACCCCAAAAGTAACAGTCCTCTTGATGCAGATTCCTGTATATTATGAATGCACAAGTTAACCGTTTTACAACTTCCATGAGTACCTTAATGTATGCAAGAAATCTTTGTTAAGCATAAAATTGTAAAAAACACAGTTTAGCTGAGAACATGGATTTGATAACAAATATTCATAAAGATGAACAAGACATCTTCGACGCGATGGGATTCACAAAAATATTCAAAATGTCCCAAAATCTCGATAAAGCTCATTCTTTTACTTTGAAGCAAAAGATTTGGCTGATAGAATTTTTTTGTAGAACTGAATTCCAAACCCCTTACAGGCTGTAGACCACAATGGAAGCAAGGTACTTGATTCACTTAGCTTTATTAACTATATAAGGCCTGGAGGGAACCACAATGGTCACCAAGACAGCACTTGTTCTTAACACACAATTGTTTCTCGTTATCCCTCTTTCTGTTTGCAGAAATGGCGCACAGAGATTTGGTGCCTGCTACTAGAACCAACCCACTGATGAGTGACAAGTCGAATCCTAAACCTCCAACAACAGCCCTTGGAACTCAGAGTTATTTGACTGATCATGATAGCGCGAAACTGAATCTGAGTCATGATGAATTGGATCACAGTCCTGCATTACATCACGGTGCTCCATTTCACAGTACCGGAGGCAGAGGTCGTTTGATGAAGGGTGATCGGCATGTTGCGACTGATGATATTGGATTGAACAAGCAAATTCTGGGAACGCATGCTCCAGATCATGAAGATCTTGATGTGAAGCCTGTTCTTTCCATCATTGAGGACATCCTGCGACGTGGCAAACCTCTTGACATCGTTCATGTACTACCTAATCCTCGCTGCCAAACATGCTTTTCTGGTTTATTCTTCATTTTAGCTGCATTTAACTAACACTTTTATATGTTTATAATATAGGGAGCCCAAGTTCCAGAATATTCAGAGTCATATGAGGATAAGTCCTTTCAAAGTGCTTACTATGATGCGGAGATAGTTAAACTGTTGTCATATCCCCTAAACAAAATTTCCTGTGAGGTATATAAAAACTCTGCTTCTCTTTTGCTTTCTTGATTTTCTTAAAAGCAAATCATGCACCATTAGTCAATAAATACTTTCATATTTTGTTTGCATTAGTTTCGTGAGCTACATAAATTTGTATAAACTTGCAATAAGAGGCTTTGCAGTGTATATAGAGACAAACTTGGAATCTGGGAAGTATATAAGCCCCCTAAACAAGACATTGTATTTCAATTGTCAACTCAAGATTATGAATGTTTAATGCAACAGATAATTTGCAAATGTGCTGCTGGAGGAGAAGCACATTCAATAGCCATTGGACTCCTTGAGACAATGTCTAACCACGGGTGGGATGCCAAGGTGGTCATTACCTTTGCTGCTTTTTCAGTCAGCTATGGTGAATTTTGGCTGGTTGATCAACTTCGCGTGAAGAATCAACTTGCCAAGGATATTGCAGCTCTAAAGGATCTACCTGATACAATGGAGCACAATGAAGAAATGAAAAAGAAGTTTGAAGCTGTTGCCAATCTTTTACAGACTGTACTGGCTGTGACTCACATCATTATAGAGTTCAAGGAGCTTCCCACTCATTACATTAACCGGGATTCACCGGAAATGGTAACAGCAACTGCTCACATTCCAACAACTGTTTATTGGATCATAAGGAGCATTTTGGCCTGTGCATCAATATTCCTAAACCTCGTTGGCAGTGGTCATGAGTATGTTTCCTATTGTGACTAATTAACTAAGTAAATGAAAACAAGAAACTCTGAATTTGAAATGTATTGACATTTGAATAATGTTATTGGGGATCAGGTACATTACGTCTACTGCTGAGTCCTGGGAGATATTAACTCTAGCTAGTAAGCTCTCCCACATGTCTGAGCACTTGCAAACGCAACTGAACAAGTTGAAGGAGTTGATTGGTAAGTCACCAAAAAAGTTGATTGGTTTGAAATTATTGGCATGCCTAAACCAAAGCTAAGGTAGTCCTACGAAGGCACTTAGTAGGTCCACCTTCTCCATATTGCAGGGAGATCTCAGATAAGTAGAAAATTAGTGCCTAAAGATCCCTACTTTACTACTTTTCTGGGGTGGGGATGGGGATGGGGGTGGGGTGGGGAAGTACACGAAGAATGAGAACATGGCACAGAATCACAGCACAACTTCTTCGTTTCTCGAATTATGGTTACTCATACTATCAACCTTTAATGATTGTACTTCTATATACAGAGAAAAAGAAGATAGATGAAGCATTTGCTGCACTGAAGAAACTCTTTGAGACATCTCATATTGACAACATGAAGATATTAAAGACAATTATCCATGCCAGAGATGATCAAATGCCAATCTTTGATGGGACTAGAAGGATAACTGTTGTCTCCTTACTTGTCCCTAGTACATGAAATTCTTGATGCATTCCATTTATGCCTAAATGTGACCATATCCTTTTACCTTTTCCTGATGGCAGGATCGCCTCGAGGTATTGAGGATGAAGTATGTCCTGCTACTAATTTCGGACCTTGACCTTCCCCAAGAAGAGCTCAACATTCTCCATCTGATTTACAACCAGCAGGTGATGAGGCACGAGTACGAGGTTCTTTGGCTCCCCATTGTTGACAATGCAATGTCAATGAGCCCAACACAGGAGAGACAATTTCTCGATCTTCGCAGCTCTATGCCGTGGTATTCAGTGGATCATCCTTCATTTGTTGATCAAGTAGCCATTAGGTACTTCCGGGAGATTTGGAATTTCGTCCACATGCCTATGCTCGTTGTCTTGGATCCACAAGCAAGAGTGTCGAACACCAATGCTTTACCTGTGATGTGGATTTGGGGTGGTCATGCTTTCCCCTTCACCAAACAAAGGGAATTGGATTTATGGAGCGAAAGTACCTGGAATATGGATTTACTAACAGATTCCATTGATCCACGTATCCAGGAATGGGTATGTACACCATCTTTTACCCAAAATTATTCTCTATTTTGCTTCAAGAAACAATCAATTATCATAATGCAGTCGTTATAACCATGAATATCAAGATTACTAATTAGTCAATTGTATACCTACGCAACATAAATAAACATAATGCCTTTTATTGCTTTTGATACAGGTTAGAGGTCCATAGTAGATAGTGAGCATCATATTAGTAAAATAATGTTCATATGTTACTTTTTTTTATGTCACAGATTAAGGACAATAAAACTATATGCTTGTATGGTGGAGAGGACATTGACTGGATTCGGAGATTCACAACTACAGCACGAAGAATTGCAACCACATTGCACGTTCCCTTAGAAATGATTTATGTAGGAAAGAGAACTTCAAAGGACAAAGTAAGAAGATGCCATGAAATCATTGATAGGGAAAAACTTAGCCACATTTTTCCATTGAAGGACTATTATGATTACATTTGGTTCTTCTGGGTGAGGCTGGGGAGCATGTGGAACTCAAAACTTCAACACGGCATGACGGTTGAAACTGATAAAATAATGCAGGAAATCATGGTATTGCTAACCTACGATGGTGGTGACCAAGGATGGGCTGTTTTCAGCAGGGGCCTGTATGACATGACTAAAGGCAAACTTGATACTTTGCTCACAGTTTTCGACAAAATCAGTGAATGGGAAAATAGAGTGGATCACCCTGATAAGTTTGTACCTGAACTAGACAAGGAGATTAGTGGCGTTCACCCTGAACACCACTGCAACCGCCTCATTCTGCCGGGGCACACTGGATACATACCGGAAAGGGTGGTTTGCTCTGAATGTGGACGTACCATGGACAAGTATGTCATGTACCGCTGCTGCACCGACTAGTCTGCTGCACTATTACAGCTACTTCAAAGGCTTTTACTGCCATTAAATATGACAAAATAAAATTTCATCTGCCGTATTTTCATGGTTTTTCCTTCTCTGTCTACATTATATGCTTTTAAGTGAAAGTGATATGGAAATCTAAAGTGTGAAACACCTTCTTATGAAAGAATTTGAAATGAAGCAACTTGGTAATTCAAGTCTGGGATTGGTAATTAATAGGGATAAATTCATATCTGTCTTGACCTTGAAACAAACTTCGTATGTGAACAAAGTAGTTGAAAGATTTGGAATGAAGTTGTCCATACCTCTTTGTCAACTCCTAGGTTTACATTTCAAATTAAGTTCATCGCATATCCATAAGAATGATTTAGAAAGGAGTGAAATGGATTTAATCCTTACTCTAATACCATAGGTTCTATAATGTATGTTAGGATGAATTCTGTGCCAGACTTGGCCCATTCCATAACTCTGTTTAGATTTATGACAGGCCCTGGTAACAAAAATTGGTCTTTCATAATTATAAGGGAAAAATTCATAAATAAGGTGTTTAGTTTACACCATTTCAAAAATCATGTTTATAGTTTGAAAATTCAAAAATCAGATTTTTTTTTTTTAATTCTAATATAATATAATATAAGAAATCCACCCACATGCACCATCCCTACCGCTCCGGGGACTATTTCGGCGACCACTCTTCTTCGACGACCATTCCGGCGACTGTTCCGATTCCGGTGACCATTCTGACGACTATTACGGCAATCATTCCGGTCACAGATTTACAATTTACGGTCACAGTTCAAAAATTTTATAGGTCACATTTAATTCGTTGGTCACAGATTTCAAAATTAGTTGATCACAGATCAAAATTTATAGGTCACACAGTCACAGATTTCCAAATTAATTGGTCACAGATTTTTTACGGCCACAGATTATATAATTTTTAGGTCAAATATAAAAAAATGGTTAATTTCATTGGTCACAGATTATTTTTCAGTCACATATTGTCAAATTTTTAGGTCACNGGTTAATTTCATTTGTAATTTATTTTCAGATTTGTTGGTCACATATAGTTTTTCAGTCACATATTGTCAAATTTTTAGGTCACAGTTAAATACTTGGTCACATAGCACCAAATAGTAGGTCACATACCACCAAATAGTAGGTCACGTACCATCGTAACCAATACTACTACCACCGCTGTCGCCTCCACTACAGCCACATGTGACCATCCTCACCCGCCACATCCACCTGTACCATCGTCAACCCACCGCTCCTATCCCAACCCGCACCACCCGCACCATCAGAACAACCACCTCCACCAAAAAAATCTCAACCATCTCCACCACATGACAACCCCCCACCAAAAACTCTGAAACCCGTCGCCGCCGCCATCACCTTAGGTTGCAGTTGCCATTTCTCCACCACCACCTACACAACCATCGTCATCACCGTCCACCAACCACCACCCATAGAAAACTACCTACACATAGATTAGAAAATAGTCACCTGCACCACAACACACAGATTCGCCCCGACAAAACACCACCATTACCAGTTAACAACAGCCAACAACAATAAAAAACTATAGCCACCTGCAACTTCAATCAACAACCAACAGCTAACACTCCACAAATAGCCACCACCTCACAGTGTCGCCGCTTCCACCATCGCCGTCAGCCACCATCACAACTACCATTTCCAAACAACAAATAAGATCCAAACTAGATCCCGCCACCATCACTGCGACCACCAGATCTGCCAAGACCACCATCACCTCCATCACCACGACCACACCTCACCGTAACCACCAGATTCGCTACCCAACATAGCCAACACACTTCCACCACCACCACTGAACCGTCAATCACCACCACTCAAAAATAAAAAAAGGGAGAAGGATGGAGATAGGAGGCGTCGCGCGGCAGCGTAGTGACACTGTCGTTCACAGCAGTGTTGCGACGCTGCCATACTCTGTGAACGATAGCGTCGAGGGAGGGGGATGGGAGAAGGGAGGAGATGAGAGGGGGATGGGGAGAACGAATGAGGGAGAATTAGGGTTAATAAATTACCTGAGTTTTGAATAAATAAACATTGGACCTGATTTTTAAAAAACTATCTTTAAACCCCTGATTTTTTATAATTTCCCTAATTATAACACCAGACACTGGGCTGCATTATTCTAAGTGGACAATTACTTGAGTCCAGTATGTTAGAATTTTTTGAAACTTTAAATCTAAAGAACTTTAAAACGTAATTGCTTTATTGTCAAGATATTCCACGTCAAATCACCAAGAAAATTATACAGTGCGGAATATACCTTAATTTATTGAGAATGATTTTTTAATACTTTATCTTGATTCCGGATCTTAAATCTTGAAGATTGACTCTTTTGATTATTTACTTCTAGTTCTTTATTTTGGCTTCTTGATCCATGATCTTAATTGTGTCTATTCCATCTTCTTGATTTTTGATTTCCTGTTTTTTTTTATTGTGGTTTTAGATCTTCCTCGTCAATATGTTTTTCTTGTATCTTGTGTTGGTGTGATGACACAAAAAATGAAAAATTATATATGAATTGGGAATCATAACCTCATTTATAGTTGAGAAAATTTCCTAAAACCAAAGATTTAAGATTTAATTATAAAAAAATCAGATGATTAAGAAAATTTTACAAAAATCAAATGATTAAGAACTAAAAAATCATTTCTCCCTAATTTCAAAGCAGAAAGGGAATGAAACCAGAGCAGAATCATTTACTTTTCTCTATTTACGAAGTAGAAAGTAGAATGGAATCAGAGCAGAAGAAAATTTGATGACGTCCTTTATCGATTCGCACTCCCAAACATATCACTCTAACGATGGCCATTAATCGCCGCTTCTCCTTCATGCTAGTGCAGTTACAGCCCCCCAATCTCTTTTCTCCGACAACTTCATCATCAAACGCTTCCAACAAACATCCTATCTCGGTTGAGACTCATCGGAATCTAATGTCAGATCCACTAAGTCCTCCACCTCTACCTTCATCAGAATATGACTTCAGATCTACAAACATAATCTTTACTTACAGTGCCCTTTCAGCTATTAACATAGGAACTCACCATCCCGAAGCGGTCACTGTTGGAAATGATGGGTGTCGATTGGGTCAACTTTGACCACAATTTTAAGTGGGACCCGATGTTCGATTTATCGAAATTAATGTTCAATTAAATTCTATGTTCCAAGTAGATGAGTGTAGAATATTTAATTGCGAAAAATCATTTCAATATGAATGAGAAATTATGGTTGAAAGTTGGACAATAAATAAGAGGAATAAATGGGAAAGAAATGGAAAAATATTCTAATCCCACATAGGTTGCAAACACAATTTGGAACCACTTAATAAATTTAAGTTTGGAAATGGATTTGGGCCCCAAAGGGTATCAATAGTCTTTGAAAGGGGGGAGTTTTAGACAAAATCTAGACTAATCCAAGGCCACACGCGCACGCCGCCGCTGCCGTCCGATCGGCTGGCTCAGCTCGGCTCGGTACGAGCTCGGGCTTGGGCCGGACCCGTGTCAATATTAATATTTTGGATAAAATTTATTTAAATTTTTATATGAATTCAATTAATTCCCTCTCTTTGACTGTCTCATTAGTTTGCAAAAATCGTGTGTTAAGTGGGCATGAGTGGAGACAGTTTGCAAAAACTATGCGTTAAGTGGGCGTGAGTGGTGAGTTGTATGGAAACTGCTCAACCGTCAACTCTCTCATATATTTAAATGGTCCTCAGGCTTTCATTGGAATCACACATAAAATTTACAAATTCATTTTGCAACATTCTCTTCTTTTCGTTGTTCCTTCTGCATTAGTCTACAGAGAGTACTTCTAGTTCTAGTTCGTTGTCTTACAGTTGAAGTGCTGTTTCTGCAAGTGTTTGATCGTTGTATCTTGGAAGACGCTTTACCATATATCGTAAGTACCGTGTGACGGGGTAAAAACGTCTTAAGGACAGAGAGTCTAGTTCTCGCCTCGATCATCCCTATTTCGAATTGTGCTCGTGTCTATGCATTTTGTTCTTACTGTTTTTAGCAATCTGTCAATCTGTTTTTAGCAATTCTGAAAAATTTATTCTATGCATGTAAAGTAGACAATAGTTAATACCCACAATCGCAGTCGCGTGCCACCATCGCCTTTGCTCTCTCTTTCTCTCTCTCTTTCTTCCATTCTCCTCTCCTCTCCCTACTCCAACCTCCATTCACGATGACAGCACACTGCACCATCGTGACTCGAAGCGGCCTTCTACAATCACGCACGTGGCTCGAAGCGGCACCACCCTGCTACGGCATTATACCGCTACGTGAGACACTCACAAGTTGCGGGTTTGGGGTTTTTTTGTGGTGGCTATGGAGTGGTAGTTTTGTATGAGATGGTGGATTCTATCAAGCGATGGTAGTGGTGATGTGGGGGTTGATTGGAGTTGCAGATGAAGGTAGAGGTGGTCGGTGGTTGTTGAAGCAGTCGATTGTGGGTGTGGCATGCGGCCGCGAAGTATTTGGTGGTAGTGGTGGTGGTGCAGCGACGGTGGCGGTGGTGGTTAGTGGTTGTGGGTGGGTGGGTGGTGTGGGGGTGTTTGTGACTAATTATTTGAGACTTTTCTCGGCGACAGATGATGAGATTTTTTTGGTGGGGGTTGTAGTTGTAGAGTGGTAGGCTGGTGGTGGTGCAGTTGTAGTGGTTGTGGTGTTGGAGATAATAGTGGTGGGTTTGGTGGTGATGCGGTTGGGACAGTGGTAAGGTGGTGGTCACAAATGATTTGATAGTTTATAACCAATAAAACAGATAAATTGTGACCAATAAATAATGCGTGACTTAAAATTTTGTTAATTTGTGATCAATTAATTTGATATTTTGTGACCACGAAATAAGTTGTGACGAATAAATTTGTGATTTGTGACTATTAATTTGATAAATTTGTGATTGTGAAATAATTTGTGACCTATAAAATTTTTAATTGTGACTGA